GTGTGTGTGTGTGTGTGTGTGTGTGTGTGTGTGTGTGTGTGTGTGTGAGGGTAAACAAGCTGGTGGACAGACAGCAGGACGCTGACAGGAACTTTCAGGTAAAAACTGATTTTATTGAAACATTAAATCAAACAAACTTTAATCTGATTAAATGTTCAGGTTTGACTTCAAACAGCTGAAATAAAAAAACCTCCAGCAGCTAAAATAAACCACGAGTTCATTAATGAGACAAACTAAACTAAACTCTTCAAAGGATTTTATCACATGAAGGTAAAATGAAAAACATGAAATAGTTTAAACAGTTTAAACTCATCAGGTTTGTGTTGAAGCTGCAGCACAAAGGAAACTAAACATCTGCAGGTTTTAATCAAATCATCCAGTGGTTGAGGAGATATTTTACTAACAGACAGTTTTTGATCTGAGTTCAGCTCTCTTATAAAACACTAAAATATTTGTTCTTCCTTTAATCTTTGTTTTTGTGGAGCACAGGAAATAATGAAGGTTTAGAAAATAGTTGATAAAATACTTCAGTTATCGATGTTGTTCAGGTGAGATTTTAATCTCAGGTATTAAATAAATAATCTGTTGGACAGGATCTTTTTTATTTGTTAATAAACGATGAGTTTAAACAACGTTAACTAATTATAACCAGTTGACTTTGGGATGAGAGAGAAGTGTTTGAGCAGATTGTTCAGTTAGAGGTTTATAGTAAAGTTTTACTTTGTTACAGTACTTAAGTATTTTTGTGTATTTGTAATTTTACCAAGTATTTTTTTAAATCGTTACTTTTACTTTAATTTTGTTACATTTAAAACCTAAAATGATTCTTTTACTTCTTTACTTTAAAGTTGAACAGTTACTCGTTATAAATCCAGTCTGTGTGACATCATCATGAGGAGGAGGTGTTTATGAAAAATAAACTGTTGAATTTACTCAAACAAGTCAAGTTGTTTCAGAGTAAAAATAATATGAGTTTTAATCAATTTACTTAGTTTTCTTCAGTAAATTCAACAGTTTATTTCTTTAATAAAAGTTCTTTTATTTTCCTGATTTTTCTGAGCAGTTTTATGACTTTTCTTTTCAGTGAAATTTATTATTACTAAACTCATTTTCTCTTCAGGTATTTTTACTTTTTTTTTCCCAGTACTTTATAGACCTCTGGTTTATTTCGGTTACTTGGTTTTATGGTTTGTTTGTTTAATTTTTACTGCGAGGAAGTAAATAATTTATTAAAGTTTGTTCAGCTCCAACCAGACCTGATGGTTTGAACGAACCAGGAGAGGAGAGCTGCTCGTTCAGACCAGCAGGACTTTCAGGGACAGACTCTGTTGGGCCTCAGGTTCTGCTCAGACCCACAGGTGCAGCAGCAGATCTGGACTCTCCAGGGTCCAGAGAGCCCTGAGGGTCCCCCACAGGTGGACTGGGACAGAAACAGGTTGCTGAAGAGTTCAGGTCCAGTTTTAACCAGAGGACCTGTTGGCTGAACTCCTTCAAGCAATCAATCAATCAATCAATCAATCAATCAATCAATCAATCAATCAATCAATAAATAAATAAACAAACACAGATTACTTGTTTATGTCAGATTGAGTTTTTCTCTCAAGGTCCACCTGAGTGTCTCTGTCCAACAGGTCAGTCTGTCTCTGAAGGACAGTTTTGTCTGAAAAACAAAGAAAAACATTTTTAACTTTTCAATAATTAGAATAAAATCTGTTCAGATCACGTTGATCAGTCATTTATGATACAATGATTTTAACCAAAAATAAATAATTCATTTTGAAAAAGTTATTTTTTGTATTTTTTCTTAAATCTGAAGAATAATATATCTGTATGTTCATGATCAACAGTTGAAGGACGATAAACCTTAAAAACAGAAGACAGGATGTCAGAAGTAATATTTAAAATTACTTTTAAAGAAAAAATCAAAAAGAAAAAATCAGTAGTTCCTCTGGATGGTTCTTCTTTAGTGAAACGTTTCGTCTCTCCTCCAAGAGACTTCTTCAGTCTGATGAGTTGAACTCAGCCTTATAAGCTCCGCCTCCACATGGACAAACAGGTTAGTCACATGCTAAAGAGGGCCATCACCTAACAATAGGCTTGATTGGCTCTATTGTTCATAGAGGGTCATGTGACCCATTAGCTGACTTATTGGTTTGGATGCTGTGGTTCTTCGGTGTCGTGTCATGTGTATGTAGTGAATGCAGGCAGGGCTCAAAGGCCCTCTGTTGCATATGACTAACCTGTTTGTCCACCAGGTGGAGGCGGAGCTTATAATGCTGAGTTCAACTCATCAGACTGAAGAAGTCTGTTGGAGGAGAGACGAAACGTTTCACTAAAGAAGAACCATCCAGAGGACCTACTGATTTTTTCTACCTGGATGACTGAGCTGCATCAGGACACTTTAAAGACAATCGTTCAGTTCTGGATCACAACCTCAGGGTTCGGGTCGTCCCAGAAGAGGGGTCATTCATGCTGCAAATGTTCAAATTTAAAGAAATTTGAACAAATTATTTAAACAATCTTACCTGATCTGAACAGTTCATTAAGGTTTTCATCAATGAAAAGTTTTACAATTTATTTCCTCGTTTGTTTTGTTTAAACTTATTTGTTTAAAAACTAAAAATTTAAATAATTACTTAACAACAAAAACAAACTTTTTAAATAAAATATATATTGTTTTGTTTAGTCATGAAGAACTGAGAGGTTCTGGTTTTAAAGCTGCAGCGCACAGGAGTTCTTTTTAGTATTATTTTTTTTTCTGAAACCAAAACAAAGATTTTAAACATTATTACAAACAAAATCTTAATTTGTTTTTAAAATGTTTGACAAAATAAATGATTCTGATGTTGTTAAAAATCAGAGCGAGTTGTTTTTCTGATACTAAGCCTGCTCTGCTGCTCCTCAGCATCAGCGATGGCTCCCAAGGTGGACGTGCCGGTCTACGATCTGTCCCTGATCCGCGGGCTCTGGGAGGTCCGGGTGAAGAAACACAGACAGAAACAGAAGAAGGAGCAGGAGAGGGTTGAACAGAGCGCTTTGGCCCGGTCAGAAAACATCACCTCAACATTTTATAACAGCTTTTAAACCCTGAGCTGCAGTTCACGTAGTGGCCTGATGGTGGTGCTGTGGTCTCAGTCTAATCCCTGAAACAGCAGTTCATAAACACACCTGATGGTGGTGCTGTGGTCTCAGTCTAATCCCTGAAACAGCAGTTCATAAACACACCTGATGGTGGTGCTGTGCAGCTAGCTTTGGGCTATTTGTAGCAAATATTTTGCTCCTTTTAGTTTTAGTTTGTTACTTTTCAGTGTGGTTTAGGCTGCGTCGTTCCTCGAGTGTTGATTTGTTTCTACGTTTCAGACATGAAAACAGCTGGGCTCATTCATTAAGGACGAAACAAACAGATTTAGATAAAAGATTAAACTGATGATGATTTAGTCTAAAACCAGTTCCAAAATAAAAGTCTGAGAGTCAAATATGTTCAGAAGAACTGCAGTTTGACTCTAAAACTGTGGAAAAATCACTGAATGGATTAAAAACACAAAGATTGAAGGGAAAACAAGAGAGGAACCTGAAGATGGTTTTATAAATGTATCATTAACTACAGGCTGGATGTTTACAGCTGAAATAAAACTAAACGTTTGATTCTGAAAACAGTCGAGGTGNGATCAAAAAGGTTTAGGGGACTACTCATTTTCAAGTGTTTAAGGGCTGATTAATAGTTTTTTGAAGTGTGGTGCTCTTTGGGGGGGAGCAGGTCAGAACTTGTGGCGAAACCAGGCCTGTTAATACAAACCAAGTAAATAATATAATTCAAAGCGACGAAGAAAAGTCGAGTTGTGGCGTAAGCGCTAGGGGTGATTTTACACCGAAATTAGTCTAAAAAACCAACCTGCCTTTTAGGGCCTCCAGCGAGAGATATTTAAGCACTACTGTTGATCAGGCTTCGAAAAATTTTAGGGGGATGGATTCTACAACAATAGGCATAAAGCTATGATTAGCCCCGCAGATTTCAGAGCATTGACCATAAAAAACTCCCGGGTAGGAGACATTTAAAGCTGCTTGGTTTAAGCGACCTGGAATGGCATCTATTTTAACACCAAAACTAGGTATAGC